TGCCGAGGAGCGTTTGAGGGCGGTCCAAAATGCCTAACGTCGCCTTCGGAAGCCCATAAGAAGAGAGGAGGCAGGCTTCGGACAGGCCACAGAGAGGCCGCAACAGGCCTGCCAGCTGCCGAGGAGGGTTTGAAGGCGGTCCAAAATGCCTAACGTCGCCTTCGGAAGCCCATAAGAAGAGAGGAGGCAGGCTTCGGACAGGCCACAGAGAGGCCGCAACAGGCCTGCCGGCTGCCGAGGAGGGTTTGAAGGCGGTCCAAAATGCCTAACGCCCATAAGAAGAGAGGAGGCAGGCTTCGGACAGGCCACAGAGAGGCCGCAACAGGCCTGCCAGCTGCCGAGGGAGGCAGGCTTCGGACAGGCCACAGAGAGGCCGCAGCAGGCCTGCCAGCTGGCGAGGCCTCGGACAGGCCTTTGGAAGTGCTTGGAAGGGTTCTGCTAGGCTTGGCCAACTGCTTCACCCTGCGGTGTCCCAGGCGCCTCCCCGCCTAGGCTTTGGCTATAGGCCGGGGTCGGCGGATATAGGTTGGAGGCCATCGCTCTTAGGTTGGAGGCCATCGCTACTAAGTTACTAGTTTGCAGGCCATCGCTACTAGGGTGGAGGCCATCGTGTTGGCTTGAAGGCGTCGCGTCCAGATGAAGGTAGCCAGATCGCCTCGAATGGATACTCTGGTCCGCCCTCATATGCTGCCGGGTCTTCATGTGAACGGGTGCTGTCATTGAGAGGAGGGCCACAATCGTTTTTGCGTTGCTGGTTGCAGGTTCAGATGCCTAGTGCTGATGGGAAAGATTGTTCATCGGAATGGCATTGAGTTGCTTTGCATCGCTGCCGCTGAGTTTTCCGGCTCAGCTTCAATGGGCTTGATCTGATAGAACTTGTGGTGTACATGGGTCTCGCAGATGCACAGAATGAGTCCGCAAGATTTGCCCTGTTACTGAGACTTGGCACGATCATCACTGTGACGACTCTGACATTCCAAAGATGGCAATTTTGGTTTCAAGCCGCAAGCCGGCCTCATTTTTTGAACTTCAATCTTCATGGCTTCCCACGTCTGATCCTTTTCATTCCTTTTCTCAGTCCCTCTCTGCTAGGAAGACAAGTACCGCTCTCCTAGAGACCTTCAATCCAAGAACAACTACATCGGACGCCTACTTTCAGGATGCTGAGTTTCTGCAGAATCCATTGCTTGGAGAGGTGGAGTTGAATTTTGTCCACCAAGTGTTCTATGGCTGCCACAGATACAGTAAACTGCTGAAACTGTTTGTCACCAGCTTCATCTACAAAGAGCCCACCACTGCCCTGCGTTCCGAACAGCCTCTTTACAACATTCTGGCTTATCTACTTTTTTTCAGGCAGGCCTGGATGGACGATGTGTCCCTTGAGTCTGTTACTGTACTTCCATGTTTTGTGCTTCATGCTTGCCTTCCGGTATGTATCTCCTTTCGCTTTCGACAGATGTTTTAACATGTTTTCACAGACTTCCGTATTTCTGCAGGCTTGAAGAAGTTGGCATAGAGAACCTCCGGCAGTTTGTCAATTGTGGCTATGGATCCCCTCCAGCCCTTTCTGGTTTGCTGCAGCTTTGAATAGGTTGTAAGACTATGGCACCTTTTGGTTGGCTGCCTGGCTTTGAGCCCACTCTTCTTTCCTTGACTCAGGCAGTATGCTATGGACAAAGAAGAGCTGGAGAAGTGGGTAATGGAAGAGTGGTTGAAACACTACGACCCGTGTTTCCTGGAGGAGGAGTACGCATGCTGGATGGGGTACGGCTCAAACAAAGAGACCAGGGACCCACAGATGTTGGTTTATTGGTTTGTTTTTCTTCGCACATGACCTTGGGATGTAGTATTTCTCAGCCTGCTCGTACTGTGGAATTTCATCTCAATTCCGAAGAGCTTTTGACAGACAAATGACTGGAGGGACTTTTGAGGGAGTCTTGAGTCTTGAGGTAGATTCCCGCAGGAGATAATGGGGCGATTGCATCGCAAAGAGCATCACTTGCGGCCTTTGCTTAATGAAATGGAGCTGAAAGCAACGGGCATGTTGAAATCTGGTGGGGAAGCTGGGCCTCCTGGCACTGTAAAATCGAAGAGGCCGCTCACCGACTTTCAGCCGTTCAATTTGACTGCTGTAAAGCCAAGGCACGGGCCGAGGGCATTTTTGGTCACCACAGTATGAGCGTGCACACACACACACATTCAGGATAGAGTGTGTACGGTCTGAATGCCACATTATGCCACACGGAAACCTAGGTAAGCCAAAGGCCTGAGAGTGCAGGTTAAAGATGTTAAAGGAATATGCAACGGGGTTCAACCATCAAATCCTTCAAGTCCAAAAAGGTGGAACTGAGTAACAAGTTTCACCAACTCAACATGGTTGTATGCTGGGTCCTTGGCTTAGCCCAGGTGTCATTGCAGTGCAAGGAAAAGAAGGTAAACGTCTGTGCGTGCGTCCACAGACTCTTCCACTCATTTCTTTAGCTTTGTTGGCTAGCGTTGAGGAATGAGCCGCTAGCCCCCTGCTCAGCAGTAGCGGGGAAACGCCAACAGGCTTCCTCTGATTCCAAGGCGCACACACACAGAGACAAGTGTGAACACCCACGTGCTAGTATCTCGGATGTTGACATCGTTCTGCCAACCTACAATTGGGTTTGACAATCATCCTATCGGAGAGCAGTTGAATGACTTGTCAGAGGTACCAAGTCGCTGCAGAGTTGAGGCAATTTGTCCCCCAGAATGGCCACAGAGTCTACTAACGCGTCAGGCTCATTGCAGAACCTGATCATCACATCGAAAAGGACTTGATTGCAAACCCGGTGCCTGGCTTCTTGAACAAGACCAACCTTGCCAAGATTGCAGACGAAAGGAAGCGGCAGATGGAAGAAAACAAGGCCAAGGTCGCCATGAAATACTCAGCGGCTGACGAGTTCACGTTTGAGACTGCGCAACGTCGGGATCACGCTTCGGTGCTGGAGGAGCTTCGGGCAAAGGCAGAAGAGAAGTTCATGGAAGAGTGCACTTTTCAACCACAAGCAGCGAAACGGATTGTGCCACGGGATGATGCTATGGTGAGGCAGACAGTGGCTTCAGTGCTCAAGGAAGATGCACGTCTCAGGCAGGCAATGGCCAAGGATGCAGAATTGCTAAAGCAATACGAGGCCGAGTTGCATGATGCATCACACTTCTATGAGTGGCAGGAAAAGATGAAAAAGATTCATGGCAAAGCCTTGGCAAGCTTTGCTCGGGCAGTTTTGTGTAGTGTAGTCATGCAAAAAGAAGGACAGTTTTATTGACATGATTTTGTGAAAAGTCCGATTCGCATGAAGCATCCTACCTACCAGGAAGGACGACATGGACGAAGAGGCCCGCATGAAGGAACGGCTTATCCAAACCCAACTGACACGCGAGAGCGCAAAAGAAGCGCACGACGCATCCAACAGGCTGAAAGGCATTCAGGCAGAGCATCAGATGCTTGGACACCTTTAGCAAGACCATAAGATGCTAGTGCACAAGTTGAGATTGGGAAGTGCAAAAGCGTGACACAAGGAAACGTGGGATACAAGCTCAACTCGCAACTTGTCCTAAAAAGGCTGCGTTGTCCTGTGTGCCACGCACGTGTTGAATCTGTAATTGCATTTGCTAAGGACGTCAGAGACAAAGAGCTCCTGTCTCAATGTTTTGACAGATGCTTCCGTTTTGCCTGTCGAAGCTTTGCATGGCCATGCACGCCCTGTGTTCTTTATTGGAAATGGGCTTTGGGCTGAGGCAGGAAGCTGAACTTGAAGAGAAGCAGAAGCTGGTTGAGCACACCTGTGAGGAGAGAGAGAAGGTCTGCAAATGCTTGCAACCAGTTCATGCAAGTGTGGACAGCTTCATCATAGTCAAACAGAAGATCGCAGAGAGAGAGAGAGAGAGAGAGAGATGGAGATAAAAATGCAGATAAAGAGAGACGGGGAGAGCATATTGGAGGGGAGAGTATATTGAACGCTTCTGGCCTTTTTTTGTTGGGACTTTGCCAGACTGCAACCTGTTGGTTCTGGTCTTTACTGGTCCAACATGGCTCATAGCGTCTTAACACAATGTGTTTTTTTAGTGGTCATTTCATTTAAACAAATACAGGACATGCTTTGTGCTGCCAAACGGTGGCTTGCAATGTTCCTTGTGGCCGATTTCTTTTTCCAAAGCTGCAGAACTTAGACTGGCTACAGTATAAAGCGGCCTGCCGATGCCAGGCCCGGATCGCAGAGCAGGAGGTCCTAAGCCTGAAGCAAGAGACCGCGGAGTGTCTTGGCCTACGCCGTACGAGCGAATCATTTGCAGGCAGGCCTAGCCGTTCGACTTTTGCTCTCAAGGCAGCGCCGGAAAGAGAAGGAGCTAGAGATGTCAAAGAAGAAAAAAGAGGAAGAGTTGGAGATGGATCGCAGCACAGTCGCAGATTACACAGCAGAGAATAAATTAAGCAGCTTTCCTGCTCTGGTGTTCACACCCTTGCGTCAACTGGGCCCCTATCCACTGACAGTAGACTCAGCAGAAAAGCCACACCAAGACTGTGTTTCCCTTCGCAACTGAAAGCTGCAGTCACAAAACTCAGCAGTCTCACCTATATATCATGAATGACCCTTTGCTCCTAGTAGCGTTCTTGTTCCTAGTAGTGCGGTCAGGAGCCCCTAGTAGCGTCCTTGCTCCTACTGATATATATATATAATATATAATTATCTCTCCTTAGGTTCCCCCCAGTTGGTCTCACATCTCACGTTGAGACAAGGTCAACTCACATGTCTCCCCATTTGGCCTCATCACATATATGTGATTTCTCTAGACCCCATTTATGTCTCATCAATGGCAATCACTGCATGTTCGCTGTAGCTCCCAGGCATTCCACCGGCCTCCCACCCCATGTAGCATGACCATTGTTCACAATTGTGGCATACCCCAGCGGGAAACCAAGTGGAAAACAAGTGTAGGATATTCAGGACACGCGTCGAATTTGCAAATCATGTTGCTCAGCAATGACATCCAAGGGAAGAGAGATCTTATCCGCCAAATCCGGGCGTTGGAGAGGGTGCCACGAGAATCAGCGAAAGTATTTGATCGGGCTGAGGCCACATCAGAGCATTCTGCACACGATTTGTTTAGTCTTTAGTTGAGCCAAAGTGACACATGCAAAGAGATCTAAAGACAGCTGTAGGCGCCAGGTCATGGACTCTTGGAGGAGATGTCGATGGCAGAACTGAAAGAGAGACTGAAAGTAATGCATGCACATCACCAGAGGACTGACACTTGCAAGTTTCATTCCCAGAATGTATATAGCAGCATGTGTGGAAAGTTTTTGATTGCCCAGCCCAGACAACTGTCAAGTCCTCGCAGGGCCTTATTTGAGAAGCGAGAACGACAACTAGCAAAAAAGGCTCAATACGGGAGTGGCTGAAAAGAAGCATTCAGCTTTCTCCTTGACCTGTTCTGTGATAGCTATAGCTCCCAGAGGGTTTCTGACGATTTCTGATGTGCTGTTTCATGTGTGTCCTTACTTGAGCCTTGAGCCATCACTTCCGCGTGTCTTGAAAGTGGGAAGATGAGAGACACTACACAGCTGAACTACACAACCGGATCTGGGAACAAAACGGGGAGGCAGGGTCGGTGTAAGTTTATTTTTTGACTGTCTTGGATGATATGGGGACGCCGGTGATTGGAAGGGAGCACGGTGGCATGTGCTGGGCGGGTGTAGATCCACCGACTCAGATGGATTGGCGAAACATCGCACGCAGTGGCACACAGCAAAGCAGCGCAAAGCAAGGCACGCCAGGGCCAAGCAAAACCAAACCAAGAGGCAGGAGGAAGGAAAAGGCAGCAGAAGGATGGAGTGGGAACATTTCGACGCACGTTGTCATCTTGACATTTGGACGTCTTTCAGAGATCATTCCTCCGGTGTGTGTCCATTGGCATCTCCATGACCGTAGTGACGTAGTGTTAGGTCTGTTAGGTGGTGGGCTCGGGGCCTTACATCTGTGGTGCCTCCACACTGGACGCCACCTACGCCATGGCCTGATGCCACTGCTTGATTGCACCACGACGGATGCTTGTCAACTCTGCAAGACTCCGCTGGCCGAATGCATCACTCAGGGTGTTGACAATGAAAGGTCCCGTGCGACTCGCCATTGACACTGCTTGCGACCCCTCTTTGCAAGGTCCCCCCCACTGAGCCAGTGGCTGCTGGCTTTTGCAAAAGCCGATAGTGCAGGCAGAGAAGGAAGAACTTCTGACTGAAAAAGTCCAGCTTTTGGCCAAAGTTCGCGAACAAGCTAGAGATCACATGATAGAAAACAGGGACCACATGCGATGCTTGATGGCACAATATGTCTTGGGTTTTGGAGGTTGGAGAAGTGAGTTGCGAGTGCGGACGAGACCAAATCTACCACTACGAAACTTGGGAGGCTGTAGTTTGCAGCCGGCCGTTCATTAATGAAAGCTCAGGAAAGCAAAGGTTGCAAGACGAAGCTAAGCCACTTGGCCTAACGTGCGAGATAGAAGCGCGTGGAGTTGCTTGCAGGGTGAGTTGCATGAAGGTTCACTGAGCACTCAGGAAGGACAGGCAACGAGGGGATGTGTTGATGGAGGTCGCCGCCAGGCTTGAAAACAAAAAGAAAGAGAAGAAGGCGCGGGAGCGGAAGGATAATATGCGCAAACTTCAGAGGCTTTTTTAGACAATTTGTTTCCTTTTGTGATTTCTTATTGCTTGATGGTGGGGTGGAGTGGCAAGTTTCCTGGCTTGCCGCTGCCCTGCAGAAGGACCAAGAGAGACGATTGCGCAAAGAACTTCACGAGAAGCTCTTCGTTGTTAGGCATGTTGGGCAGGTTATGCTGCCCGCTCCTCTATGAATCAGTTGTGTGGTTTATCAGCAACTGTGCTGACATGCCCAAGGATTGCAACAAAACAGCAGTTTCAGATGAACAGCCTCGAAGCGCTCGAGGGCCACAAGAATGCAGATGCTTTGCGACATTTCTTGTGTCTTGTTCGGGGGGCACAGGTGGCCAAAGTCTATAGGGGATAACGCGTCAATGGCATGAGGAGGGAGCCTATGATATGTAATCCTCTTGTGGTTTAGGCCACTTCCAGCCATCTACCCCCACGCTACAGACATGTGGAACATGTAGATGGCAGACACTGCAAATAGAGCCCGAAAGCCGAAAGCATTGCAAAACATGTCAGCAAATGTCGCTTGATTTGTTTGGATCTTTCGATATCGTTTTGTAAGAATGTGCACTTGTTGATGGCGCTTGGTGTCCGTCGGCAATGTTTGGCTGCGTCTCAAGCATGATGCAGGGAAAAATGCCTTGGGCACACATTTTGTATCCCAGCCGCTTGCTCCAACCCCCATCACCCCTTTACAAACAACGCAAAAACTGCAGAAGAACATTGCTGGAACCAACCCTGTTTTTCACGAAAGCTAGCATGCTAGCTGAGTTCTTCTTTGCTTTAGCAATTGGTAGTGGAATGAGCTGCGTGCCTTAAAGCTTGATATATCACACTAAGGGGGGGGGGCCTGGCCCCCCCACTCTAGCGTGATATATCACGCTAAGGACCCCCCCCCCTCCCGCGGTTCAACTCCCAGCTGCAGGCGTTTTGGCATTAGTGGAGGTGTTGTTACATGTTGGAAATTGTTGGTGTTTTGTTTGGTATTTTTGATTTTGGGGTGTGCATTCAATTTTGGATGATCCTGGGTAGCGGAAGCACACGTAATTATTGGAGAATTAAGATGACACTTATGGGATTTTGCATGCGTTTTTGCAAAACATCCACTGATTTAGTGTTTGTATTTAGGATTCATTGAGGAGCTTTGTCGGAAGCATGGTCAGCTTCGTCGGAAGCATGATCATTTGCTCGTTTTTTCTTGTGGATGCATCACATAACATTTCGGCTGCGCCTCGTCAGTTGATGAATCTTCATTACCTGAGAGCAAAGTGCTTGAATTTACTGTCTTCGACATGTGTGGTTTGGCAAAATTGTTGATTGTATCCATACCCGCCAGATTTGCTACCGGCTTTTGCCCCAAGACACTCTATTCCTTATACCTTTTACCAGTGTTTATCCTACACTACGGACGCCCTAGTGTATGTACAGTCCGTGTGATGTCAGAAATGCTCACCCCTCTTTCCGACCCAAGGCATACAAAAGCGGTGGGTAAATTTACCTTCCAGATTTACCATAACAGTAAACCAGCTATTTCATCTAGACACTCTTAGTGTTTGTATTTAGGATTCATTGACGAGCTTTGTCGGAAGCATGGTCAGCTTCGTCGGAAGCATGGTCATTTGCTCGTCTTCTTCTTGTGGACGCATCACATAACGTTTTGGCTGCGCCTCGTCAGTTGATGAATCTTCAATACCTGAGAGCAAAGTGTTTGAATTCACTGTCTTGGACATGTGTGGTTTGGCAAAACTGTTGATTGTATCCATCCATACCCACGAAATTTGCTACCGGCTATTTCTTGAAGACACTCTATTCCTTATACCTTTTACCAGTGCTTATCCTACACTATGGACGCTCTAATGTATGTACAGTCCTTGTGGTGCAAGAAATGCTGACCCCTCTTTCCGACCCAAGGCATACGAAAGCGGGGGGTAAATTTATCCCCCAAATTTGCCATAACCATAAGCCGGCTATTGCCCCAAGACACTCTATTCCTTATCAAAGGAAGTTTAGTGTGCAAAACTTCCTTGTTACGGACATTCAACAGCTGTTCAACCACCACTCATCATACGCAACTCATCATACACCACTCATCATACACCACTCATCAAACCACCACTCATCAAACCACCACTCATCATACACCACTCATCAAACCACCACTCATCATACACCACTCATCATACACCACTCATCAAACACCACTCATCAAACCACCACTCATCATACACCACTCATCAAACCACCACTCATCATACACCACTCATCGTACACCACTCATCAAACACCACTCATCAAACCACCACTCATCATACACCACTCATCAAACCACCACTCATCATACACCACTCATCAAACCACCACTCTTCATACACCACTCATCATACACCACTCATCAAACACCACTCATCAAACCACCACTCATCATACACCACTCATCAAACCACCACTCATCATACACCACTCATCAAACCACCACTCATCAAACCACCACTCATCATACACCACTCATCAAACCACCACTTTGTGAAGCACTTTGTGAACCTCCATGTGCAGATTTCGTGGCAGGTGCAATACAAAATGCGTTTTCGAGAGATAGCGGACACGCGAAATGCTGTATTTTTCAATAGAACCGGTGGCTTCGAACCTGGCAAGTCTAGCTCTGCGGAACGACGGTTGCAAGACGGTCTCGAGTCATGGTCGGATCATGCTCGAATCGTCTCTCCATTGTGGTTAGAGTTTTCACGTGTCTCCTGAAGTGCAGATTTCGTGGCAGGCGGAACCTGCGTGTGCAGATTTCGTGGCAGGTGCAGCACTTTGTGAACTTCGAGGTGCAGATTTCGTGGCAGGCACAGCACTTTGTGAGCCCTCATGTGCAGATTTCGTGGCAGGTGCAATACAAAATGCGTTTTCGAGAGATAGCGGACGCACGACATGCTGTATTTTTCAATAGAACCGGTGGCTTCGAAGCTGGCAAGTCTAGCTCTGCGGAACGACGGTTGCGAGACGGTCATGGTCGGATCATGTTCGAATCGTCCCTCCATTGTGGCTAGAGTGTTCACTTGTCTCTTGAAGTGCAGATTTCGTGGCAGGCGCAGCACTTTGTGAACCTGCATGTGCAGATGTCGTGGCAGGTGCAATACAAAATGCGTTTTCGAGAGATAGCGGACGCACGACATGCTGTATTTTTCAATAGAACCGGTGGCTTCGAAGCTGGCAAGTCTAGCTCTGCGGAACGACGGTTGCGAGACGGTCTCGGGTCATGGTCGGATCATGTTCGAATCGTCCCTCCATTGTGGTTAGAGTTTTCACGTGTCTCCTGAAGTGCAGATTTCGTGGCAGGCGCAGCACTTTGTGAACCTGCGTGCGCAGATTTCGTGGCAGGTGCAGCGCTTTGTGAACTTCGAGGTGCAGATTTCGTGGCAGGCACAGCACTTTGTGAAGCCTCATGTGCAGATTTCGTGGCAGGTGCAATACAAAATGCGTTTTCGAGAGATAGCGGACGCACGACATGCTGTATTTTTCCCGAATGCGTAGCGAAGGGTTCCCGTTTATAGTTGGGGGTCTGGGGGTTGGAGCTATGTTTGCATGGCTTGCGTCGTGTCGTCGTCTCTCGTCGTCTGTCGTCGTTTGTCGTCGTCGTGTCGTCGTCGTCGCGTCTCAAATTTGCTGCCATTGGGGGAAGCTTTTGCAAGTGACTTTTCATGGATGTGTCACGTGTCAGTTTGCACCGCAATTCCATTGTGATTTGCATGGCACCGACATGTCGCGCAAGAAACGTGATGCATTTCGCTGCACAGGCGCATCGTTTTGTGAGATCCGCAGATTGCTGCGCAGTTCCATTGGGATTAGTAGCGTTTGGAGAGTCGTGTTTTGGGGGTGTTGGATGTGGCCGGGCCATTGGGATTTGCGTTTCAGGGTGTGGCATCAAAGCTCCGTTTTCGTGACAAGTCTCAGCTGAAATGGCGATTTTGGTGGATGGGAATTTGCTCTGAACGGGTCGAAATCATTCCAAACGTGTGGTGTGGTGCAAAGTTTGTTGAAGCTCACATGCGATGATATTGTCACTTTTCGTGGCAGGCGCAGGACTTCGTGCGGGTTTTGAAGCGTGGAAGTGCGATTCTCGTGGCAGGCGCAGGGAATCGTGAGGTTGCGAGGTGTGAGGGAGGTGACATTTCGTGGCAGGCGCAGTACTTTGTGCGCGTTAGACATGTGGATGGGGAAAGATTCGTGGCAGGCGCAGGGAATCGTGAGGTTGTGAGTTGTGGTAGAGGCAGAGGTGAATGTCGCTGTCACATTGGGATTGGCGTGTGAGCGGATCTTGTTTGGAGGGCTGGAATCGCGAAACTGCTTGGCAGGGCTGCGTGATGTGTGTGCTCCGATGGGTGTTTCCGCTTGACTTTTGGAGGAAGTCTCGTACGAAACGCTCGTTTTGCAGACTTTGACGTGTGAGTTTTTGAGGAAGTCTCGCACGAAACGCTCGTTTTGGAGACTTGACGCGCAACCCTCTGCGGAGATCGTGCGTGTCGAGTGTGCGAAATGCAGGCGAGAGTGAGAGTGCGATTTGTCCCATGCGCGCGCATCCCTCTGCGGAGATCGTGCGTGTCGAGTGCGCGAAATTTCAGGCGAGAGTGCGATTTGTCCCATGCGCGCGCAACCCTCTGCGGAGATCGTGCGTGTCGAGTGCGCGAAATGCAGACGAGAGTGCGATTTGTCCGGTGCCCGCGCAACCCTCTGCGGAGATCGTGCGTGTCGAGCACGCGAAATGCAGGCGAGCACTGGCGACTTTGTAGTACAACTTTAGTACGCGGGGTATCTGGGGAGCTGGAAGATGAGAACTGGTGACTTGGTAGTACAACTCTAGCACGCGGAGCAATCTGTGGAGCTGGAAGCTGAGAACTGGCGACTTTGTAGTACAACTTCAGTACGCGGAGCAATCTGTGGAGCTGGAAGCTGAGAACTGGCGACTTTGTAGTACAACTTGAGTACGCGGGGCAATCTGTGGAGCTGGAAGCTGAGAACTGGCAACCTTGTAGTACAACTTTAGTACGCGGAGTATCTGGGGAGCTGGAAGAGAGCCCCACAAGAGTGTCCCGCAACAGTGTCCCACTAGAGTGTCTCACAAGAGTGTCCCTTAAGAGTGTCCTACAGGAGTATCCCACAAGAGTGTCCTACAAGACTGTCCCACAAGAGTATCCTACAAGAGTGTCCCACAAGAGAGTCCCACAAGAGTGTCCCACAGAGTGTCCCACAAGACTGTCCCACAAGAGGTTCCTACAAGAGTGACCCACAAGA